CCTCCGCCTCCACCGCCTCCTCCCCTCCCGTCGCGGTCTTCTCCGCCCCCTGCCCAGGAGGGGCAATGTCGCCGCCGGCGCGCAGGGAGGGATCGGGGAGGGGCCGCGGCCTGCCCAGCGTCTCCCTCCGCCTCCCAAGCCCCCATCCGCCTTCCTCCCACCTGCAAGCCTCTGCTGGTTCCGCGCGTCCTGCCCGACGCGCCCAGCGGCCCTCAGCTCCTAGCCCCCAGCCCCCAACAACGGTGCCGCACGGGGGCCCCCTGATCTCAGGCACCAAAGTGGGGTGGGGGTGGCCCTGACCTACGCTGGGCCTGGGTTAGGGGAGGTTGCTCTACAGAGTCTACACTGGCATCCCTGCTTCCTGCAGGAGAGGTGAAGGGGCCTGTGACAGACCGGACATAGGTTGGTCTCCAGGGCCACCCCTGGCTTTCACAGTGGAGAGGGTGTAAGTTCTGGCCGACTGCGCTGCAAGTGCCCCCACCCCAAGTCCTGCAGTATCTTTTCTTATTCTCATGTGTCAGATTTTGGCTAATAGGAATACCATGTGAACCTCAGTGCCTGGAAGGGGTGGAGCCAGAACGTTGGGGGAGGGGAGGGGAGCTAGTGGGGAAGGGGTCCTTGGCACCAGGTCCTATTGCTTTTCTCAGCACCAATGTTCACAAACATTCTCATCAAGGACCTCATTTTATCCTTAGGTCAGTTCTGTGAGTTCAGAGCAGACTGTTCCCATGCTACACTAGGGAAACTGAGGCAGTGGTTCCATGTTGTGGTCTAGTAATGTAATGGCAGAGCCACACAGGGCTCAGGCTGAGTTCAGAAGCCTAGAGCCTCACCCCAGTGTGGGTACAGGAGACCCACAGGGTTCCAAGCCTTTGGCTCTGGCTGTAGGGGAGCAGAAGGCAGGGGCATAAGCCCAGTCTTTCCTCGGCTTTCAGGCCAGTTGTGGGTCAGCAGGGGCTCAGGCCTGGGCTGGGGAGATGCTGAGAACCAGTCTGTGACTTGGGGCTATCAAGGGATGGCTTCTCTGCCCGGAGATAGCAGAGTAGGGTGAGACAGGAAGGGCTGGGATGCCAGCATCTCCATGGATGAGGGGCAGCCAAGGGAGGCCTGGCTGCCTGGCTCCTGTCTGCAGCACTGCTGAATTCCCCTGAGTCATTACCCCTGGAAAAGAGAGGAAGCCAGCAGCTTTGCCTTTGGTGCTCAAGTCCCTGTTCCAACTCTGGGCCTCAGTTTCCTGGTCTGTACATTTGGGGAGAGATGGGATCCCATGATCTCAAAAAGCCCCCCCTGACTTTGCTCCAGTTTCAGGCCACTATATGCAAGTCTAGGCAGAGTCTGGCCACCACCAGCTTGGCATGTCCACCCTGCCTGTGTGCCCTGACTGCCCCTCTTCACTTCTTCAGCTTCAGCAGCAGCTCCGCCCTCCCAGGTAGAGGACCGAAGCCCTACAACTTCTTTCTGCTCTGGAGCCCTAGGCCTTTGGACCTGCTCTCTGGAATATGGCCTGCCAGACTCTTCTCCCTCAACATCAGGCAGCTGAAGTGCTCAGGACTTGGGCTTGCACCTGCCAAAATGACATCACATGGGCAAGTGTCTATGTAGGCTCCCTGCCACTGGACCCAGTATTCTTTTGACAGCCTGTACTGCCAGTTGTTCCAAAGTTATGGGACCTTTTCTAAGAAATCCACCACAGTGAGACCCTTCCCTTTTATCTGTGGACATATGATAAATATGTATATACCAAGACAAAAATGATGGGGCTGGCTAACCCCCATCCCATGCTCCTCCCATATGCAGAGGACATATGGCAGCTGTGTATATGACCTGGACACTCAGTTGGGCCCTGATGAAGGCTTGGTGAGCTGACTCAGAGGAGTTTCTAGGTAGTTTGGCTACCCCCTCCCCATATTGCACATTAGTGACTCAGGGCAGAAAGGCTGGGGGGGGGGCATTTGGATTGAATAGTGCTGATCCCCTACCCCTGCAAAGCTCCTACCGCAGTCCTCCCACAGTGTCTCTGCTTTCCAAGCAACAAGAGCCACTACTGTTGGAGGAGAAAAAAGTCTAGGGCTGGGCTGGTCCGAAGACACTTGGGAACTTGAAAGACATTGGCCTCCTCAGTCTTGGAAAATGGGGCCCCTCTTCTCATCTACATCACCTTCTTGGCCAGAAAGCCCAAGCCTTCACCCTGTTGGGGGCTGGGAGACTTGAAGGAGACTTGAGTGAGTGTAGGTTCCTATCACTGAATCAAGGGCCTAGCTGGGTCCCCAGCTCTGAAGCAACCAGGTCTACAGCTCGGGTCCTGCATGCTCCTGGAAGAAACCTGAGAGTGAGGTGGCTGGTCAGTTCCAGTCCTCATCCTTTCTATTTTAAAAATATTTTTACTCAGCTTTTTATAACTGTATTTTTATGTGGTGTGGAGGAGCAAATCCAGCTCCTCACATGTGCTAGACAAGAGCTCTACCACTGAGCCACAACACCAGCTCCAGCTCTCATCCTTTCTGTGACACTGCCCCTCAATCCATTCCATGGTCCCCTTTCCACCCTGAAGACCCAGGCACTCAGTGTTAATTCAGGGATATCAGTAGGTTACTCCCTTCCCTTCTCTTCCTTGGGGTTGGCCTTTGGAAAGGGGCCATCTCACTTCTTACTGACCCCGTACCCTCCTGAATCTCTCAGATACTCACCAAAGGCCCTGAAAGTAGCCCCAGGAACTGCCAGCCCTGGGAAAGTTGAAGGGTCATGAAGGTGGGCCTTGCTTGGAGTGGAGAGGTCTTCAGTCTGGCAGTGTCACTGGTGTCTGGCCCAGTTCTGACACTCTCTGATGTGGTGGCCCTTTGGCTGAGGCATCTGAACCTGTTAAGGCACACTTCTTTAGGTCCCAACTCTAGGCCACATTTCTGGTAAGTGAGACTTTGGAGAAAGGCAGTGGCCACCAAAGTCTTGGGCCTGGCACATTTCCCATGTTGGTTAGCCATGAAGGCTTCTGTCTGCCCTTGGGGCTCTGCCCATTCCATTTCCCTATGGGACAAATTTACCCTCCTCCTGGTTCAATAAAGTTTCCTCAGTGCGAGGTGGTGCTGTGATCTGAACCCTGGGCCCAGTCCTCTTGCTTCCTCTGTAGAACCTTGCTCTCATCTGGGAATTTGGCACTTGGGTGCACACACACCCAAAGCTTTATTTCTGGGTAACCATTGGGTCTTACAGAGAGCAATATCTGTAGCTGAATCCATCTGCTAATCTGACAATTGCTCTTGACCACCATTGCTCCACCATTGTGCCCAGTTCAACTCCTCCCTTGGCATCCTTCCCTGGTCTGCAGTGCTTCAGCTAGAATCTTCTAGATGTGTCTTGCTACCAGTTGCTATGCCTTCAGGAACATATTCTAGCCCTGTTAAGAAGCACTCCATCTGCCCCTGGTGGCTTGCAAAATGACCACACCTAGACATTTTAAACAAAATGGCCCTGTGGCAGCTCCCAAAGCCGCACTTGCAGATGGGGTCAAAGGCAGGCCAACCAGGCAGCTGAGCCCCAAGGGTGAAAGCACCAAGCAGGGACAGCAGGAAGGCAAGAGGAGAGAAAGGAGGGGAGGGCAGGACAGAGAGAGCCAGGCTGTGCAGTGATTGCTTTCTGGGGGCCAGGACCTCAAGAGCCATTAACACCCCCATTCCAGGAGGCTCAGGTTCAGGTTCAATAACCTGGTTATAAAGCCCCTCTGGCCAGCTGCACGGCTCCCTCTCCTTGTCTTGTCCTCCCGAGACGCAGCGCGTGTGTCTGGATATACATTACAGATGATATAATCCTTTTACCAGGAGAGAGCCAGCCGCCCATGCCCATTGGCTGGACAGGCAAGGGGAGGTGAGGGAAGATGAGGAGCTTGCAGCCACACAAGGTGGAAGGAGAGGACAAGGAAGCCAGTGACTTTCTGGCTTATCCAAGAGAATTGGAGGGCTGCATGGGGCCAGGAGAAAGGGGAACCACCAGGGGCAGAAGGACAGGGCTGGAGAGACTGGGGGCTCTGAGGGCTGCGTGGTACCCAATCCCCCTGTTGAGATACCCCATTGCTCTGCCTGGCCCAGGAGGTAGGCCTCTGTGAGTAGCCTGCTGGCCTCTGGCCACATATCTCCATGTCCCCCACCCCCTACTCTCGCCAGCAATGTGCCTCACTGGTCAAGCTGAGGAAACAAGATTATATGAAGCAAGCGGCCATGAGTGGGCCAGGCAGGAGCTTACTGCAAGCTCTCTTCCTGGCTGTGATGTCTATGGGGGTGGGTGGGGAAGGGGCTCCTGGAGAGGTCATCTCATCTCCGTCCTCAAGGGCTTTTGCCTCTGAACCCTTCTGTCACAGTGCTGAGCACCTGCAAATGTCCTGCCTACTGACTCATCTGGCTGTCTCACTGCCACTGTCCCTTCTCCTCCCAGCACTGTCTTCTGTCCCCAGACCAAGGTTGAGCTCTCAGGCTGGCTGCTCTGGGGTCAAGGAATCCCCCAGCTCCAGTCCTGCCCATCCTGAAACTTGCCCAAAACCTTGCAGCGAGCAGTGGCAAAGGGGTCAGAAGGAGGGCTTCGGGTGCCAGGAGTCCCCAGGGAGAAGACTTGGAGTGAGGGGATACCACCTCATTGTTATGCATGCTTCCCAGCTGCCCTTTGAAGCACTACTGTCTCCAAACTTTCCAACTGGAAGCTCACAAACTTCAGGAGGAGCCCTCCTTGCATGCTGGGAAGACTCTTTTGCAGGTCCCTTGTATAATGCTGGAAGCAGGTAGCTTGGGGGATGGAGGAGAGCTTCCTGATTTGTGGTGCTGTGACCATTGGCTAGTGGTGCACAGGGTGTCTACGCTTTCACTGAATCCTCCAGGAAGCTCCTGATGCACTTTATGGATGAGGAAACTGAGGCACAGACAGAGGTGAGGCACTCAGAGGCCCACAATTAGCAGGCAATGAGCCGAGACCAGAGCAACAGCCTCCACCAGCTGGGGCACGGCCTGCAGCCTCAGGCCATTCTTTCCCACAGATGTGGGCCCAGGCAGGAAGGGAGCTTCTGGCCCAGACCTCAAGCCCCTGGCATCCCACCCAGTCAGCTATAGCAAGGAAGGAGGCTGCCATTGGCTGCAGGTGGGCTCTGGAGAGCTGTGAATGCAATCCAAATTGACAGAAGAACCTGAGGGGGCCTGAGTCTCCCCGACAGGATGGAGCCCCAGGCTAAAGCTGCAGATGGACAGGGACTGGCCCCTGGAGTAGGTGCACCCCCACCCAGCAGGCCTACTCCTCTGTTACCCTGGGCCCTGCTGCCCCCTCTCCACAGGAAGGCTCAGGATATTTCTGCCAACTCTGTGGGGATTTTTCCCATCTAAATTTAGAGAGCAGCTATTACCCCTCAGTACCTGCTTCCCACATCACTAACTGATTTGCATCCCGAGAGCACCCTGCAAGGAGAGTGAGGAGAGTGCAGATGTGCCACCATATGACCTGCCTGCCCCTGGGGCCAGCTCCTAGGCAGGGAGAAGGTGGGGAGAGAGAGGCAGGTCAGGACAGGGTAGCAGTGAAACCAGGGAGATCTGTCACATCCTTGGGAGATAAGGGTCAGAGACCTGCCCTCAGCAGGGACAGCTGAAGCCCACTGCTCAGGGACAGGCCTTTCCAGTCACAGAACTCCTTCCAGGATCCTTGCTGTCCTGCCTGCAGGTCACAAGGTAACTATCTTCAGCACTCCTCCCTTCTGTCCCTGTGTACTTTGTGCCCAAATGCCATTTCATTATGGAGAGAAACAGAGAGCATGGTGGTTCTAGGAGTAGCTTGGGGGATGGAGGAGGGTCTCCATCTATTGGTTACTCTGCTGTTACCACCTGCAGAAGTGGCCTGAGACTCATTCTAGCAATGGAGGGAGGGAGGAGAGCTGCTGTGGTTGATATGGGATGGGACCATGAAGGCAACACAGGGTCCTGTTTGTCCTAGGGACACAGAGAGCTGGCCAAAGCCACAGGAACCTTGGCTTTCTCATGGCACCTGAGGCCTGAACTGCAGGTTTTTGAAGTTCCAGAGGGACTGGGGGGCCAGGGATGGGGTCTCCAAGGCTACAAGCCTAGAGGACGTGTGAATTGTCAGATGGAGCAGTGAGGGCCAGCCAGAGGAAGACGTCACAGATGGCTCAGCATTAGGGCTTGTTTCCTGGTATCTGCGCAGGAACCTGGGCCCCCGCTCAGTGCTGGGCCAGCCTAGAGTGGATGGACAAGGCACAGGGCTGTTGGCCTTCATCTGTTCTTCTGCCCCTCTCCCCCATCTAAATTGTGCTGTGATGGATGTTTCTTCAGGAACTTGGAACACACTTCGCTTGCACGTATACAAGACAATACTTGGAAGTCAAACATGGAAGATATTGAACCTGGTGAGCTCCCCAGATGTTCTGGGGCTGGCTGGCAGGCCAGCATCCTTGTAATACACTTGGAACCTCTCCCTCACAGCCTCATTCCAGAGCCTCAAGGAATCTGCGGAAGCTATAGCAAAGACTTAGATTCCTAGGTGGTGGCTTCTAGATGTGACCTGTTCCTCTGAGGTCAAAGTGCAGGGTTCTGAAAGGTGTTCTCTTTTATCCCTGGATTTCAGGTCTACTCCTGAGGCCTTGGCCCTGGATTCCTGGCCTCCTTCCCCCAATGCTGCTGATCCCTGCAATGACTGATAGTTCAGATAGGCAAGGGGCAGGAGGTCCAAGGAGCAGGGAGCACCAGGCTGGAGCTGGACTTTGCCACCAGAATTATTGAGCACCAGTAGCAGCCAGATGCAGGGGACAGGGGGTCCTATTCCTGTCCTGAATTGGCCTTCCGCTTATGCCCCCCACCCCATTCACACTGGCCTCCTCCTTTCCCCTGCCACCCTGCCGTGTTTACATCGGCGTGCAAATATGTCCATCCAGCCTGTCCTCACCAAGTCCTCCCTGGATGCTGCCTCAGCTGGTTCCCAGCTGGAAGAAATTATCTACAGGTGCAGCCTTGAGGGCTGATCTTTCCCAGCTGCTGAGGTGTCCCCAGCTAAGTCCAGAGGGCCTTCTTCAGTCTTGCACTTATTCCAACCCTCAGCAACAGTGGCCCACTCCCTCCTTCTGTAATATTCCCCTTCCTCACCTCCTACAACTTCTCATGCTCCTGCTTTTCTTTTCCTCTCTCTGGCCATTTATCCCAAGTCTCTTTCTCAGGCTCCATGCTTTTTTCTTGTCTCCCTCTACATGCCACCACTGGATGAAAACCTCAGCTCTTCTCCTGGGTGACAACTGTGACATCAGTGTCTCCTGAGTGTCCTTGCTCACAGCTCTTACTGCCATTGCCATGTGGAAGTCCATGGTGCTTAACATACAGTACATCCAAAAGTGAGCTCACTGTCTTCCCTCCACACCTCAAGCTTGGGACACCCTCATTTTCTTTCCCCATTGCCCCCTCTCATTGCCAGGTTCTGATACTTTTTACCAGACCCTGTCCTCTTTTGCCTGGACAACTGTACCAGCTCCTTGGTGTGTCCTGCTTCCAGGCCCAGCCCCCATCCCTGCCCCCACCTGCACACCAAGGCCAGCTTGACTGACCTGAGACAGATGCCTCAGCTATTCCTCCCCTTAGGGCCCCTCAATGGCCCCTTGTGGCCTTGAGGACAAAGTCCAGCTCACAGATCCTGAATGATCCAGCTCCTACTCACCACCTGGCCTCCCTCATCCACCTCCTCTAAGCCCAGCTCTTAACTGGCCATTACCAGAATGTACCAGGATGACTGGTGTCCCTTTGTCTTATTCTAAATAAGGTGCATTCTGAAGCTCCAGGTAGACACATATTTTGGGGGCTACTATTTAGCCTAATCAGTCCTCCTGTTGTCCTCCCAGACTCACATCCATCTCATGTGCAAAACACATTCATCCCTTCTCAACACCCCCTCAAATCATCACCTACTGTCCTTGCTGTGCACGTGGCCCTTCACATCTGTCTGGCAGGGGCATGCTCACTTTTTCAACCCCAGCCCTGCCTGCAGTGGCTCCACGAATCCTTTCTTCCCCTATGATGTTGGTATCTGGCTCCAAGAGGGGCTCTAGCAACGTGGGGAGACCCCAGGAAGAAGGAATCTGAGAGTCTGGGGACCTCTGTCTCAGCAGCTCATAGTGAGGCTGTCTGTAGGTGAGATATGGTGGTGGGTGGGTGACTCCAGGCAAGATCAGAGCTCTTGGGCCACTACCTGATGCCCTGTGCCCTTGACACCCTTCTGTGGAGGAAGAAGCAGCTGTATAGGGAAATCACTGGAGATAAGGGCAGAATTCACTCACCTCTGAGAGGCAGCACTGGGGTGAGCATACTGGAATTCCCTCTGGTGTCCAGGTCCCTCGACTCCTCATGATGTTCCTCCATCCTGCTAGGGGAATGTTTTGAAGTTGACTTCCTGTGCCCACTGCTTCCTGTCCCAGCTGTCATGAAGACAAGAGGGTGAGAAACTCAGGGGAGTGGAATTGACTGTTGACAGGGCTGTGAAGCATGCTGAAGGGGAGACTCAGCATGAGCCCCCTCCCTTCAGGAAGCCCCTGGGCCTGCACCAGGCATGGTTCTTACCCTCCCTCGCCAGGTCACTTCGTGGCTCAGTGCCTGGCACATAGTATATCTCCTATCTGCAGTGCTCTCCCCACCTTCAATTTGGCCTCACAGCGCTGGGCATGACCCTCAGGTGTCACCCTGCCCTCCTCCCTGTGTTATTGGGGCTTCCGTTGTCTGCTTCCTTCTGCATTTGGCCAGCTGACCGATTCATGGATGCTACGGATGCCTTTGTGCTTCAGTGTGGCTGGCATTGGGCCTGAGCACTGCAGGCATGCTACAAATGTCTCCTGCAGGAAGGATGTGAAGTTGAGGTGGCTGTGTAACCCCCCATAGACCTCCATGACACCCAGTGTATAGCTGGCCCTGAGCAAGGCTGCCAGGGCCCAGAGAGAATTGAGCACTTGGTCAGCCTCCAGAAGCCCCCTGCCTATGGGCAGCACTCATGGCACATCCTGCTGTCCCAGCATCAATTGGCATCTTTCTGGTCATCTGACTGGCTTCTATGGCTGCTACCATTTTCAGGAGGACTCCCTGTGTAGAGGCTCCCCATTCCACACTTTTGGTGGCCTTTTCTTACCTCTAGGTAAGGACTCTGAATTCCCAGGTGGGTCCAGAAACCTGCCTTCAAATACCTGCCTCCTGTGCTCTAGTGTACCCCAAAGCCCGAGGGTGCTGTCTGGCAGTCTTGACACCTAAGATTCTGTGGCCCTGCTGCCAGGTTCTCTCCCAGCATCATCTCCTACTGCCCCTCATTTACCCTCAGGCCCCCCCACTCCCACTTCCATGTACACTGCCTGCTGGGTCCTGTTGCTGTTCCCTGTCCTAGCCTCTGTTTCTGCCATTCTCCTCCGCAGAATGTACCCCCAGACCTGCCAGAAACCCCTCCAGCCTCCCTCTCACCCAGCCTCAGCACTCTCACCTCTGCCCTCTTTGGCTGGTGCCTGGATACCTCTCATGGCCTCCTGGTGCACCAGGAGTGTGCTTTCCAAGGCCTGGCTGGCCTCACCTGTCTCCCTCGGCTGGCTATCCTCCAGGTGCTGCAAGAGAAAAGGTGGGCAAGGGCAGGAGGAGGACGAGTTGCCATATTATCCTTGGTGGTCCCTGGGACACCTCTGCTGCGGGTTCTGTGACCAGTCAGCTGCAGGCCTTGGTTACTGAGGAAACCAAAGCCTCGTGTGAATGCTTGTTGTCAGGGAGGAGGGAGACAAACAGAGCACGCCTCTGTGAGGGATGGGGTGCCTGGGTGACTCCACAGAATCCCACTGGACAGATCTACAGATGTGCACTGAGAGCCACAGGATCCCTGGGTGGTTCGGCGCTGGATGTGGTGAGGAGGCCGGCCCTGTCTGGGGGCCTGGGCTTGCATTTACACTGAAGACCAGGACAGAAAGGCTGCACACAGACTGGAGCCGGACAATAACACTGTGTCCACATGTGGGTGTGTACACACCTTCCCAGGGACAGCAATATACCTCCATGCCATCAACCATCAAGGCAGATTGACAAGGAGGCTGCCAAGGTTGACATATATGTACATTTTATGGCTGGAGCCAACAAAAAGGACAATAATAAAGACTACAGTTCTCTAGCATAAAATTGGCAGGGAGCTTGCTATGAGTTTAATTGCATGCCCCTGTACCAAATTCATGTCGAAGTTCTAACTTCCAGTGCCTGTGAACGTGACTTTATTTGGAAGTAAGCTCTTTGGGGGATATGATTAGTAGAATGAGATTACACTGAAGTAGGGTGGGCCCCTACTCCATTACGACTGGTGTTATAAAAGTGGGGGATTTGGGCACAGACACAAGCAGGGACAACACCACATGGAGACGGACTAGAGATCTACCAGTCAAAGAATGCCAAAGATCACCAGCAAACAAGCAGAACTCAGGGGTGAGCCCAGGAACACATCATTCCCTTGAAGCTTCAGAAGCAGCATGGCCTTTTGAATACCTGGACCTTGGGCTTTTGGCCTCCAGAATCAAGAGAGAATAAATGCCTGTTGTTTTAGGCCACCTTGTATGTGGTATTTGGTTATTGCATCTCTAGCAAACCAATTCAGAGCTTTACTATTTATGAAATACAACTCATATATACTTTCATTCCAAAATATCCTTAAGAAGTAGAATGTCTTAGTATTTCATAAATGAGGAAACCGAGATGTAGAACATTTGAATGGCTTCTTCAAAGTAACTTGATCAGTCCGAGGTAGATCCAGAGCTCAATTCAAATTAGGTTTTTGATTTTAGATTCAGTGAAATTTAAGAGATCTAAATTCTTCAGCTTCCTGATATATTCAGTTTTTAATTTTTGTACTGGGGATTGAACCCAGGGGTGCTTAACCACTAAGCCACATCCCTAGCTCATTAAATATTTTTTTTTTGTTTTGAGACAGGGTCTCACTAAGTTGTTGAGGCTGGACTGGAATTTAAAATCCTCCCACCTCACCCTCCCAAGTTGCTGGGCTTACAGACATGTGCCACCACACTCAGCTTATATTCAGGTTTTAATGTTCTTTTTACAGTTTTTTTTTTTAGTTTCAGATAAACATAATACCTTTATTTATTCATCTATTTATTTTTATGTGGTATTGAGGATTGAACCCAGTGCCTCATGCGTGCTAGGCAAGGGCTCTACCACTGAGCCACAACCCCAGCCCCTTAATGTCATTTTAAAGTGTACATCACTCAAACTTTGGATCTGAGAGATATTTTTGATTCAGTGAGTCAGGCAAATTTCCAGCCCTAATTCATGTGCCATCCTGCCTTTGAGATATTGACTTCTCTTTAAGGAGAAAAAGAATCTCTCTGTGCTATAAATGTCCCTCTCAGAACTGCTTTAGCTACATTCCATAAATTTTGCAATGTTGCGCTATTATGTTCTTTCATTTCAATGTAGTTAAAATTTTTTTCTTCAGTCTTCCTCTTTGACCTGTGGATTATTTTTTAAGTGTGTTTTTTAAATTTCTTAGTGCGTGGAGATTTTTATTTTGGTTATTGATTTCTGGTTTGATTCTATTCTGATTGGAGAACAAACTCTGTATAATGTCAGTTCTTTTAAATTTGTTGAGGTTTGCCTGAGATATGGTTTATATTGGATGTGTTCCATGGGTACTCAGAAAAAATGGGCAACATGCTGTTATGGGGTGGATTATTCTGTAAATTTACTGATAATGTTGTTGAGTTCTTTATATCCTTACTGACTTTCTATATAGTTATTGTGTCAATTATTGAGAGAGGTATCTTGAAGTCTCCAACTATAATTGTGGATTTGTTCCTCTTCCCTTTCACTTTTTTCCATTTTTCTTCGCATGTTTTTCAGCTTTGTTTTTTGGGTGCATACACATTTATGATCACTCTGTCCTCTTGGGAGAATGACCCTTTTTCATGATAACATATTGTTTTTGAAATGAAGTTTTTAACATCTTTATAGAAATGATTATTATTTTCTTACCAGTCATAGTTTTCATGATGTTCAGGGCCTGGCAACAGAAAAGGATCTCAGCGGGGAAAAGGAACTTGATTCAGAGGAGATGATTATGCTTTCTTTTGCTATTCTGAACCCAGACTCATGAAAAGGAAGGATAAAAAGTTTGTGGGGCTGGAATGAAGCTCAGTGGCAAAGCACTTGCCTCACATTCGCAAAGCCCTGGGTTCAATCCCCAGTTCCAATAAAAAAAAGAAAAGAAAAAAAAGTTTGTGCTGGGTGTGGTGGTTAATGCCTGTAATCCCAGTGACTCAGGAGGCTGAAGCAGGAGAATCACAAATTCAAAGCTAGCCTCAGCAACTTAGTGAGGCCCTAAGCAACTTAGACCTTGTCCTTAAATAAAATATGAAAAAGGGTCGGGGATATGGTTTGGTGTTTAAGTGCCCCTGGGTTCAATTCCCAGTATCCTAAATAAATGAATAAATAAATAGATACATACATACATACATACATTTGTAAAATGAAGAGGTTTTTGGTGAGTTGCTTGTTCTCCCTCTAAGACAGATCCAGTTTTTGTTAAAGTAACATAACAGCAGTTCATAATTGACATTGAAACAAAGTTCTTAGTTTATTCTTAGTTAATAGCATTAAAATATTTTTAGTTGTAGATGGACAAAATATCTTTATTTATTCATTTATTTTTATGTGATGCTGAGGATTGAACCTAGTGTCTCACTAAGTTGAGGCTGGTAGAGTGTGAAGCAAGCACTCTACCATTGAGCTGTATCCCCAGCCCAAAAGTCTAGCTCTTGGTATAGTTACTGGGATAGTAGTTGAGGATCCAGGAGGAAGTTAAACACCCTCAACAAATAGCTCACTAAACTCACAGGTAGGGCAGGACCAGGGAAAAGTCTGAAAAGAGTGGGTCACTGAGCTGCCTGTTGAGGTGGGAGTTCATAAGGTGACTCAGGGAAGAAAGACATAAGAGGCAGGAGGAATGGTATGGGCAAGAGTGTCAAGGCCTAGAAGAATTTCCCCTGCACAGGGACCTAGAATGCATGTCCATGTGCCTGGAGTATACTGTGCCTATGTGTATTTGCAATCATGTGTGTGCATGAGTGTGTGAATGCATGAGTGTGTGTATTTGCAGTGAAGATGAAGCTGGAGATGTAAAGACCCTGGGCTCATACTACCACATGGCTGCTGAATCAGGGGACAAAAATGCGGAAGGATCCCTTTTGTTCAGGGCTTGAAGATGCTTCTTGAATGTTTCCAGCTTGGTTCCTGGAGTCCCTCGGAAAGAAGGTACTTGTTTGTTGGCTCATACACACATGTGCGTGTGCGCACACACATGGCTTCTTGCACTCTCCTGCCTGCTATTGCATGACCCCATGCCCTCATGCACCCAGAGTGTGTGCTGGAAGACCACCTTGCTGGGTGCTGCTGCCGCCATGCATATATGCATACTGGCACACACATGTACTCTCATGCACACACACAGCTCTGGGCCTGGGCTGAGTGCAGAGCTGCTGTGATGGTCCTTGCTGGCATCCCCTTCATGGCCTGTCCCTCCCTCCTGGGCCCTGTTTGAATTTGCTGCCTCAAGCTTATTCCTTCTTTGTCCCCTTATACTGCTGCTTGGCCCCTTGTCCTCCAAGGGTGAGTGAGGGGAGGCTGAGGAGGTGGCAGTGGCCTGCTGTAAAAGGGAGGCTCCCACCCATACATAGCCAGGCTGTGAGTGCCTAGCACTTGTTGCTGGCCCTGCTTGCCTTGTCTTCACTGGGAAGCTCACCTCTGGGACCAGCCATCTCCCTGGGCAAGAGGAAGGGTACAGTCCAACTAAGTTGAGGCTGACAGGCTTCTTGAAGCTGTCCTCTGCCAACACCCAGTTGTGCAGAGTCTCAGGGCTGCAGGATCCAGTTGCCATTCCTATATGCATTGGGGAGCAATGATTTTCACATGTATATAAAAGGTAGAGGCTGGTGTGTGTGCATCCATGTGCATAATAGTGTGGCGTATGTGGGCATGTGTATGTGCATGCAAATATGTGCGTGGAGTATGTGTGAGGAGTGTGTGTGTGTGCATGTGTGTGCTTGTGTATATGCACATGTGTCTGCATATTTGTGTATGAAATATGAATGTGTATCAGTGTGTGTGTGTGTGTGTGTGTGTGTCAACCCTCAGTGAGCCCCTCAGGAAGCTGCTGGAGGAGAAAGGGGCAAAACTACCCAGGTCCCTACAGCAGCCTGGTGCATACTGCGTTGAGCAGGAGGCCCATGTGTGTACTCCAGAAGAGGTGTGCGGATGGGAAGTGGACAGGCAGAAGCCAGGCTGAGTAGGGAGGAGTGGCAGGCAGTTGTGGAGGGCACCCCAGGCTCAGTGGCAGCCGTGTGCTGTGGGCCTCTTGGCTGCTGTGTCTCTCTTCAGCAGTCTCACCTGACCTTCATATGGTGTCGCACACATTCCACCTTTTCCAACTTCAACCTTGCTTCCCCTTAACTCTGCATCCCATGCAAGGGCAAATACCGGGATCAATTACCTTCTGGATCCTGCTTCTTGTGTGGCCCTTGCAGACCCCTCCTGTCCACACTGGTTCTGACTTGATCCAGAGGTTGGACACTAGGGCCTGATTTGGGGAGCTTGGGGAACCCCTGTGGAGTCCCCAGGTTGAGTGGGCCAGCCTCTTGCCCTCATTGGCACAAAGACCAAGGTGCTGAATCT